CCTAGTGGTAAAAAAATTCTCAAAATCTATATAGGCTAACCCTATGTACAATAGCGTGGAAACAGGCAATTTTAATATAGTCACAGAATTTTTTACAAAAACGTTTTTTTTGCACTTTTGGTTTAAAGAAAAAGTTGTTACTTCTGCGCGTTTCCCCTTCCAAACTATATTAGTACTTAATTCAAGGAATCCCAGGAAGGGTTGGATCAAATAATCCTGCGGTAATTTGCCGATTTGCTTAAAATATTTTTTCAAAAATATGGATTACAATTTAAAAAAATCAGAATCTTTTCTTCGGCCTTTTTGTGTGCCTGTACTAGAAAAGCTCATAAATTTTGAATACTAAAAAAACCTTTGAAAAAATCAAAATGGTGAATTTTTTTAATATAACTTATTTGCCACTTTTACAAATACAAATCCATCACTAATTATTTCGATTTGTGGTACTTATGAAATATCATTTACTTAAATTAAGAAATAAAATTAAAGAAAACTAGGAAAAAGTTGCGCAAAAAAAAAGATTTACAAAAGATTCAACCAATTCAACCAAAGCCTGGATTTGGTAATACGTTTTTTTGAAGATTCGGATAATTCTGCAATTTTGCAAACCATTTCCACTGGCTTCGTAAACACAAAGCTTTAAAAAAAACCTGTCTTGAAATAGGTAGAAAATATGTTTAATTCTGCTAGAAAATTTTCGCTATAACAAAACATGGACCTTCTTGTGTCATCCGAGTCTCTGATTTTTAGCTTCGTGCAATGGACCACATATAAAATGTGAAACGGAATTTTGAAATTTTTAAAGGGAATAAATATCCCAGGAAGGTGGACCAAAATTAAAGTTGTACGGAATTGCGCAAAATTCAAGGAGTATAATGTGGTGAGGGGCAAATATCAATTTTTAAATTAAAAAAGTGGGTCTGGGTTTCGGAAAAATAGGCAAAATGTGCGTGTTAATTGTATATTGCTTATGGCGACATCGATTATGTGTGGCGGGGAAACGTGAGGTAGCCGAGCTGAAGAAGTTAAAAAAAAATCATTGAAAATAAAATTTGGCACATGACAGTTTATCGAAGGGGTTAGCCGGGGTATCGGCCAACACCTCATTTCATTTTAAATTTTACGGGTGGTTGTCCCTTCACCACGAAGGGTTCTAGAAATATTCCCAGTTAATTTCCTCCGTCAAAAACAAACTGAAGTCATTAATAAAATTCTGTGGTCAACATTTTGGCAATTTCATTGTCTTCTTTAGCACTTTCTCTAAAAAAGAAGGACGAGAATTAAATACGTTTCTTTTTATTATTGATTCGTTTATTATAATTTCTTTTTATTATAATTTAGTACATATAATATGGGGTTTTAATACTTTACTTTGTGTTCATTTTAAACTTTTCAGTTAGTTCACTGGAGGAAATCCGGACGAGTACCATGTAATTTTTCAAAACTAAATTATATAGATCTGTCAGCATTCAATAAATTTATCTTATCTAACGTAAAAATTAATTTTAAACAAATTACGTTTGTTGCATTTTCTACGTAATGCAGTTTTAAAGATAGCAATCTTTTTATTTGCTAATGTCCGTTTTATTAAATGTAGGTACAGTGATAACAATTATCATTATTTTGACAAATTATCGAGAAACTCTTAGGATCTCCGCCAGCGAACTTATCGAAAAGTTTAAACACAACATACAGTACTAAAACTACTTATTTATTATATGTATCAAATATCGGTTGCCACTAATTAATAATTGAAAGAACACGCATTTAGTTTTGTTTTTTCAACACTCTGTATTTCAACATTGCGACATTTCAAAAAATGTTATACCACATTTTCGTCTAAAAATAAGCTGAGAATTCTTCTCCTTCGTTATGTCAGAGAGGATGGGTAACACCCTGTATATTGTATACTATCGACCGATACTCTACAACTCTAAAATTGTTTTTATGAAACGAATTAAAAAAAAGCATGGACATAAAGTGAGATAACGTCCTGTATTTCGAGAACGAAGCAACATTCCAACAAATTTTATACGACATTTTCGTCTTAAAATTATTTTTTGTCAGATAGGTTAAAAAAAAACATGTATACACTTATTCTTTTTCTTTGTAAGCATTTTTATTTTGTATAATTACGCTGATGTACGTGACTGTAGGTGATTTCTTCTGGAGTACCGAAGAAGGCAGTGAAATTGCCGAAACATCGACCACTCACAAGACTTTAACTTGATCCTCGCGACTGATCTCCTAATGACATTGAAATGACACTAACCGTGCCATAAAGATAATGTTTAGGTTTGAAGTGTAAGAAGATAGCGAGAACAATAAAACTGAATAAAAAAAACGATAAAGCGATTTTAAGTACACGGCCGCAATCCGTTCAATTTTTGTTACGAATGATTTAATGGCAGCTAACCAAGTTTCTCCGAGTATGAAAACAACTTTAAGACGGTCTCGGAATATCTTTAAAGAAGCGCTGTTTTTGTCGTGCATCAATAATCCGTCTTAATGTATATCCTTATTCCACGAAAAAGAACTGACGGTCTTGAACGCTTTCTTTTTAATCGTTAATGTTGATTGTATGGGGTTATTCGCGTTATACGGCATGAACTAACTTTTGTTGCCTAAATAAAAGATCCTAAAAAAGTTTTACCTTTGGGATATGCAAAGTCCTACTATAGTAGCTTTTAAAAAATATTTTTAAACTATACAGGCTGTCCTAAAAGTGTTAAAGTATCAAAGTTGTATTTAAATACCACCAAAATAACACTTGTATTTTTCATTAGAGTTTATGATGCCTAAAAATTAGTTTTTCTTTTTGTCAAAATGTCACCTAATTCTAATTTCGCAAATACATAAGAAATATTTAAGTTATATAAGCGAAATTTACAGTAAAGTGTAATGTCAGATCTTATGCAGGACGATCAAAAATAGCTATAACTTGCATAATTTAAATGGAACAATATATTATTTAACTTACTTTTCAATTAACTATCGAATTAATTGTAATTTAACCTCCCTGTATTGTTTGAGGAACTCAACGATCTGTATTCGACGAGGTGGTGCTTCCGCCTCTTTATGATCGCGAAGTTCGACAATTTCAAAAACGGGTGAATTGAAAGATGTGAGTTTTAAAATTCAAACCCAACAAATCCTCCCAGATCCCCAGACCTAACACCACTAGACTCCCTTTTATGAGGATATATAGAAGAAAGAAATTGTTTACTACAAGCCTCTCATTACAACAAATAATATGAAAATACGTATTAGATACGCCTTTAACGCTGCAGCCCCGCAAATGTTGTCCAAAATTAAAAATGTATTGTAAACACATGTTTTCTTTTATTTTATAGCCTAAATGGTTTTTAGACGTCCCACAAGTTGTAACTCTTAATAATAGAATTTGCAACAATACAAAGTGGTGACAAAGTATCAGACAAAGTGATCAATGTAGTTATAAAATATCTAAATTCTTAAATCATCCAATAAACAGGCTTTAGAGCAAAAGCAGACCAGTTAACAAACTTAGTAAATTATATAACATTTCTAAATACCATAGGCAACATAGGTCTTCTATAACAAGAACTGTAACTTATAGATTTGGCGCAAGCTTAGGTCCAAAGGTCTACACTTGCCTGCCAATTTTTTTTCTCGATTTAATATAACACTCTATAGTCTTTTCCGTTTTTTATTATTGTTTTTATTGTCTTAATACTTACAGATTATAATATTTATTTCCATACAAATTTAGGACTCAATTTACCAGCTGAAATGATTTAAGTAGGACATATTTTATTTCTGGTAAGTATTGCACTTTTTTTTTGTGAATAAATAAAAAAAATCTAGAAGCTGTTCTAAACCATATAATGCCTTTAACCATTCGCCACGTAATTTAAATACTGTGTTCCATTTAAATTAACCAAGTTATAGCCGCTTAAAATTAATTATTATTAGATTAGGAAACTTTTTTGGCCAGGGTGTATAATTGAGACAAAAAATACTGTTCATTGTTACATTCTACTAAATTAAAATTACATAATATTTTCACAAAACTCAATTATTTTTAAATTCTTAAGACTTAGGTATCAAAAACCTTTTTGAAACACACAGGTAAAACTCAAAAATATAGGGTTTCAATTAAAAAACTACAACTTTAATACTTTTAACACTTTTGGGACTACCTGTATAGTATGAAAGTAATTTAAGCAACCATATTAGGACTTAACATAAACCAGAAAAACTTTTTGAAAACCTTGTATATTGGTCAGAATATTCGGTGCCGTATAGAGTGAAAAACTCTGTAGAGGATGGGAAAAATTGAAAACCTTTAAAGGGACCCACCTCTTGCTAAAGGAGATGCGCAAAAACTAATGCAAGTGTCTGGAGTTCAACTTTCATAAAAAAAAATATATTGGTGAAAACCACATATAGATATGTTTCCATTCAAGTTGCAGAGTGCTTTTCGAAAATGTGCATTTTAAAATAATCACTGAAACTATTTTGTGATGGAAAAAATCAACTAGGAAGGCGTTCGGTTACATTTTTCTAGGAACCACTTGGGCCACTACACTTTTGTGGTAGTGTGTGGCATGTACACGTTTTTTCAGTTCTTTTAACGTTAGTTCTTGCTAGTCTTGTTGGTGTTTTTAGCTTTGATGTTGACGTTGTAGGATTAGTTAACCGTCTCTTAAAACCACTATTTCTTGTAACTCATAGGGAGATCAAGAATAGTTTTTTGGCCACTTCTCAAAGTGATTACTATAATGTTTCGTAATCTTAAAATTTTTTTAGGTTATTAATCGTGAATCTAATTGTTGCTGGCACATTTTTGAAAAACACCATTCAGTATTTTATGGAAATCGCGCCCCAGATATAGACCTTATTTCAGATTGAATGGGAAGTTTCCCTTTAAATGTGTCCAATGCGACCCACTCTGTACAATCGATTAGTTTGACTTGCCCGCTCGATAAAAGATTAAAAATCCTTAAAAAAGTACTCACCATATCAGTTCCGAGATCGATGCAGAGAATGGTAACGGTACCTAGGGGAAGGGGTACGTCGCACAAAATAAATGCAAGGAAGGGAGATATCTCGGGGATGTTTGAAGTTAGGGTGTAGGCGATCGATTTCTTCAAGTTATCGAAGATCAGTCTTCCTTCTTCGACGCCCGTTACAATCGAGGCGAAGTTGTCGTCCAACAAGATCATGTCGGCGGCCTGCTTGGACACATCGGAACCGGCGATACCCATGGCGACCCCGATGTCCGCTTTCTTTAAGGCCGGCGAATCGTTTACGCCGTCACCTAAGCCGGAAAAAATTAATCATCGTCTAATGAACCGAACAACAACGCAAGTTCCGTAAACACAATAGGTCGCCACCCACACCGAGTAACGCGGTAAAGTGCGTTTCGAAGTATACCCTCTTTCCCAAATATAATGACGTGACGTAAAGTGACGTAATCAAAAATGATCCGTGTGTCTTAGCTCTATTCCTATCAAAACCATAAATAACGATTTAAAAAATGACAAACAAAATTCCTACGTCAATTTACGATATCCAGTAATGTACTAGATAATTGCTCTGACTGGACTTTAAACCCAACAACCATTAATTCATTCATAGGCAAGGGACAACATAGGGGCAAGTAGGATAGATAAGATCAGTGGCAGTGTTGAATAAGTCGTTTTACCGTGCGTTCTTAAGAATATATCACTAATTTTTCCGTTATATTGGCTCGAAATAACTTATGTCATTAAATGCAAAACGTGTATATGAATATTTAATAAGCAGAGGATTCATTAGATAAAAAACTGACTATGAATTATTGAATGAAAGAAAAACATAGTAATTTTCAAGCCTATCGTCTGTTAACAAGATATGATAAGAAGGCAAATATATTTCCTTTATCAAAACTAGATTGTTTTACCCTCCATAAGGTTCTTGTAAAATGGGATTTAAGTACAAATAGATTTAAAAAAAAAAACAGATGCTGATGGAATCCCACAGTTGTAAATTTAATTACCTTCAGGAAATTAAAAAGTATAGAACCGAAAATTAATGTATAATTTACCTTGATGGTTCGTTACACAAAATACAGGATATTAAGGACTCCTAACTTCAAGTATCATGCTACAAAACGCTAGACTAGCTGCTACAAAATGCACCAAATTCATTAAGTACAAAGACTGAAATTAAAAAACATTCCTTGCAAAATGGCACCAAGTAAAATCAAATTATTTATTTAAAATATTTTACACATTAGTATAATGTATATTTGTTAATATAGACGAATTCGTATCTATTTAAACCTGCCCCCCCTTTTTTTTTGGTTTTCCTCAACTTTCTAGCACTCTAACCGCAACGTCCACTGCAAACGCCGACAGAGAAAAAATGACCTTGAAGTTTTTCGTTTCCATCAGAGTATTGGATCGCAGTTCCGTCAAGAACAAAGCTCTTACATTCTTCCCCACTCTATTTTGCAGTTTCAATTGTACTAAAAGTAGAAATCCCTCAGCGCTTGAGTAACTTAATCATTTTTTTCATTATTAAGGTTGCCTACGTAAATCAAAATTACAATGGCATTGTTTTTTATCTCTTTTTTTGTTTGTATGACTTAGTGGCACTTTTTGACATTGTTAACTTATTTAGTATTATATGTTAATAAGTTGAGCGTTACATTAATTTTGTGTTTACAAGTTTATATAATTATGTGACCTTTACCTAATTATTCTGCACATATATAATTTTCAATAATAACAGAATTGTTATTTTTAAAATTATTTTTGTTCCATTTAGTGGAATAAATTGGTTGAAAACGAAAAGAAACAAGCATTTGTTCCTCAGGTTCAATCTCGAATAACTTTTTGTAGAGTATTAAATTCCCTTTAAAAATGGGCATTATTGTATTTTGTATACTGAGTTATTAGTTACCAAATTTCGCAATGAAAAAGTTAAATTAAAAAAACGTATTAACGTTTAAGTCTTAATTTGAACTTTTTTTTTACAAAGAATTCGATTTCCTATAAAAATAAATTCAGATAAATATTTTTACCTCAATCGTTTGGATGTTTTGACTCAGTAATGGGATCAGGACAAAAAATTCAATATAAAAATTATGGATCTTTTACCATTAATATTAACGGCTGACATTTTCACGATATTTTCTCGTATTAAAAAAAATAATATCTTTTTGGCCGAGTCCAATATATTATTATATATTTGGGAAATTGTAAAAACTCTTATAATTGACACATTGCCAGAGATCGTCAGATACTCAAAGGCACTGGAAACTGTTACCCCTCAAATGTTTAAAAAATCCATATAATCCTATAATAGGGAACAGGACGGGTAATGGACAGATAGGAGACTCTTCGGCTTGATATTAATGTTGACAGCGACTCTAGTGATTCTAGTGATTTCAACGACTGAGAATAGTAAATGAAAATATTCTTCATGCACCACCTGTTGTGTTTACATATTTTGGCAACAACGCGCGTCTCACCCGTAACGGCAACGATGGCTCCCAGCCGTTGACAACCTTCGACGATGATCAGTTTCTGCTGCGGCGACGTCCTAGCGAATACAATCTCTGTATGGTACCTCAATATTTCGTCCAGCTGATCGGATGACAAGTCCCTGAGATCGGAACCGTGAACTACCGCCGCTTTGGCCTCTCTAGGATTCACTTCCGAAACCGGAATGTTCAATCTCTGCGCGATATCTTCGACGGTCTCGTTTCCCTCGGAAATGATGCCGACGCTTTTGGCAATGGCTTTCGCAGTAATGGGATGATCGCCCGTCACCATAATGACCTTGATACCGGCGCTCCTGCATTTGGCGACGGCATCCGGCACGGCGGCCCGTGGGGGATCGATCATAGACATTAGACCGACGAACCGGAGACCGTCCAACGGGAAGTTAGGATCGTCACTGTTGAACTTGTATCCGATCGGATACTTATCGGTCGGCAACATCAGGTCGCAAAATCCGAGCACCCTCTCTCCGAGGCCGCCCAGTTCCAAGTACGCGTTGTTGAACGCCTCCTTCATTTCCTCGTCCAACACTTTCTCTTTGCCGCAGATAAATATGGTGCTGCATCTCTCGAGGATACGTTCCGGAGCGCCCTTCATCACCAAAATGTGACGCGGATCGTTGGGGTCTTCGTTCTCGTGAATGGAGACTTGGTATTTGTTGGTAGAGTTAAAGGGCACTTCGCAAATCTTCTTGTTCTTTTTCCTGATGGTCATGACGTCGCCTAGAGCAAGTTCCATGCATTTCAGGAGCGCCGCTTCGGATGCGTCGCCATTCACTTCCCTCTTGAGGATGGGGACGTTGCCTTGGCCCGGTTTGAATTCGGCCCTGTTACAAAGGGTGGCGATTCGCGACAAGGCTTTAAATCCCGGACTCGTTCTGTCGTACTGCACTCCCGATTGATCTTCTGTAGTGTCCGCCTCGATAATTTGGTTATCGAACCACATGTGAGCGACCGTCATTCGGTTTTGAGTCAGAGTGCCGGTTTTGTCTGAGCAAATCGTGCTAGTCGAGCCCAACGTCTCGACGGCCTCCAAGTTCTTTACCAAGCAATTCTTTGAAGCCATCCTCTTAGCCGTGAGAGTTAAGCATACAGTGACGGTGGCGAGCAAACCTTCGGGCACGTTAGCCACGATAATGCCGATAAGGAAAATGACGGCGTCCAACCAGTGGTACCCGAGGATGAAGGCGATGACGAAGAAGGTCACCCCCAAGAATACGGCCACGCCGGTAATGAGATGAATGAAGTGATGGATTTCTTTCGCGATCGGCGTTTCGCCGGTGTCCAAACCGGAAGCGAGACCGGCGATACGACCCATCACGGTATTGTCACCGGTACTGATAACCACGCCCTTGGCGGTGCCCTCGACCGCGTTAGTCGAGAAAAACGCGAGATTTTTCGTTTCCAACGGATTCTCGTGGGTGAATTCGGGACTACGACTCTGCGGCTCCGACTCCCCCGTCAAAGACGAGTTATCCACCTTGAAGCCCCGCGATTCGATTATCCTAACGTCCGCGGGTATCCGGTCCCCGAATTTAACTTCTACCACGTCACCAAGTACCAAGTCTTCAGCACGAAGAGTTAATTTTTCACCCTCTCTAAGTACCGTGGCGAATTGAGGCACCATATTTTTGAAGGATTCCATAATTTTGGAACTCTTACTCTCTTGATAATAAGAAAATATACCTAAAAAAATCGATAGCGTGCTAAACGATAGCTTTTCAATTATACAAATCGTGTTCGATAATTGACATCGCATAACTTGAAGAGTATTCAACCACGAAACCTATCAAATAGAACAACAGTGTCATACGATCGCAGAGTACTTTGTCAAATATTTCATGTTAATTTTATAAATAAATATATTCTGTGCGAGGTGTGAGATAATTCTTTACCACGCATACATGTGACTCAAATCGTTTTCAAAAGAAGTTCTAAGGCGTTTTCGTGTGAGATTTCCGATGGTTTTAAATCCGACTTGAAAATATTTTGAGTCATAATCTAAATGAAATGAATCCAGAAATGTTAATAATAATAATTCCTTTATGTTCTGTGTCAGTGGGTGCAAAAGGTTTAAGTCAGTATCACACAGTTTGTTCTAATTTCTCCCGTAAAAAAATATGGAAAAATAAATAAATAAATATATATATATATATATATATATATATATATATATATATATATATATATATATATATATATATATATATATATATATATATATATATATATATATATATATATAAACGAAATGCATTTTGAGGGTGTGCGTATTGATACCATCTCGTCATAGTCCCAATTTTTACAAATCGAATTTGAATGGAAATAGAATTCGATACCATGGGTTTTCATAAAGGCAAAAGTTGTTTGGATTCAATCATACTTTGCTCCTTTTATTTTCGTGGAGAAGTAACAAGATTCTTATTTTAAACAGAACACCCTGTATATTAAGTAAAATAAATTTTGAATTATTTGGAAAATTTTAGACATACCTCACATATAATTTTTAGGTCAACAGTGAAATTTGCTGGTTCAAATGACTAAAGGACTGGAATAAATTCGATTTGAGTTGACTTTCTTTAGCGGTATGTGATGACAGAAATAAATACAAAGTGGACAAAAAAAACATTGAAACTCTGAAAAATCGAGACTTTGTGTAAGGCTTTCTTATTTGAAGAAGTTGTTGGTTTCAACAATAAAACATTTTCCCGTTGTAAAATTGCTAAACGACTATTAATTAGCCAAAAACGTAATGGCGAAATTATTACTAAAAAAGTATTTAAGTTTGTTTGATATATAAAAATAAACAGAAAAATATGAGGATAGATAAAACCCTACGTGCTTAAAGCGAAAAAAAAATTGAAAAAGACTGTTATAAAACTTTATCATACTTTAAGAATTTTTTTTAAGTATTTATTTATTCTTTCCAAACATTGCAAATAATTTGTTTCGTTTACTTTTTTTTTGTAGGAAAACATTTTATAGAGTTGAGATATTTTTTTTGTATTAAACTATCCAATAAAAAATGAATTGGTTAGGTAGCATAAAATTATCAAACATTGATTTATAAACACACGGTAAGCCAAAATAGTGACGTTTCTATAGATCACAGATTACTAAATTAGATTCCGTTCTATAAGGAAATCACCTCCCAATATATAAGACGGCCTTTCCATCGAAGAAATCGATAGATATATTTAGACCCGCGTTTGATTTAAAATTTCAATGACCTACCTACTAGAAAGTCAGCTATTAATCATTCAAACAAATGTCTGTAAAATTTTGAAATAACTAGCTCACTTGCGCAAAAAGTTATTAAGCATTAATAAAGCGGTGTTTTACTGCCAAAAAAATTAAGATTAATTTTTCCGAAGTACAGGAAGGAGATAAGAATAGGGACCAGAAAACCAGAAAATGTACTATGCAAGGTTCTCCAATAGTGTCGTCTGTGGTTAGTTGAATTGGCAACGCTGCAGGAGCTTAAATATTTTTTTTAAAATAGCGAACTATAGCCATATATCAAATTCGAAAAAACAAATCTATTTAGTTCTCCAGAACTTCTAGTAGAACATTCAACATGAATCGCCCTTTATAAAAAGTATTATTTGGCATATTTGCAACACGACTGAGATTTATTCATATAATTATACGATGTCAAATCGATAACGATATTCTCTCAATCCTTTAATTGGTGCTTAAATTAGTCGATTAATTTTTTTTTGTTTTCATGGTTATCCTGAGCCCACTAGCAAAAAGATTCCCATAAATTTGAAGAAAAAAAAAGAGTAAATCGGCCAAGTGGAAAATGCTGGAAATTACATCGAAATTTTTTAAACCTCCACCAGGGGCGTAGTTTTTTTCTTGAATTTGAACACTCGATTTCTACAAAAATTAATGACATTAATTATAGTTACAACAACTACTAACTTAAAGCTGGGAAAAATTCAAATATCTTTTCTTTAATGATTAAATAAATGTCCATGTCTCCAAAAAAGTTCAATAAACTTGGGAATTGTTCAAACGGTCTTGAGTGAGCGAACGCTACAAAGAAAAGTTGAGAAAATTTTTCACAAAATTACCTGCCAGCTGACATTTCCACGTTTTGACTTGCAAATATTAAGTATTATTACACTAGAAATCAATTATTTCTGTCAAAAGAGATGTTTTATTCATTTTTTTAATGGATTTCCACAATTTACTACTTAAATGCATCAATATTTAATAAAATTAATTAACCTTCAACAATTGATAAGTTACTGAATTAGGGATTACACGTAATTTTTAATGGAAAAATAAGTGGTAATACCAAATATATACGGGGTAATTTGGTGTCATTTGAAGATATTGAAAAAAAAAACAATAAACAATAATATTTTATTTTGATTTTTTAAGTAACACTTGGCATCCTAAATAGTAAATTACAATTTTAGTTGGTATATTACACAACCTCTAACGTGGAAATTGTCCCCAAAGTTCAAATTTCTTTTGAGCATTAAGTTCTGTTATTCAGATTTTAGGTTAGGATAAAGATAAAGAAGAAATAATAAAATTCAAGATAAGAATTGCTGCCGGTTGGCCATTTCAGAAACTCGAAAATAATTACCAGCATTTTCTCTTGGCCGATTTAACTTTTTTTTAAATTTCTTTGACCGTCCGTTTCCTCAATACCGTCCCTTACTGGGACACCAAGTATATACAAAGTTTTTAATCAACTCTTCTAACGTAACGAACTAGTTTTTGATAAAATTAAGAATTTTTCCTTGTAGTTTAGGACGAAAAAAAAGTGGATTATTGTTAATTAAAATAACAATTTTGCGAGTTTTGTTCGGGCGGACGTACCTGTAACAATAACAACAGCGGCTAATACAACACCCAGGAAAAGATTATCGTCTGCTGGTTCTTCTATCGTGCTAGCTTGGATACCGTAAGCTATAAAGCATAAGATCGCGCCGATCCATAACAAGAGAGCAAAACCTCCAAAAAGATTTTTACAAAATTTCACCCATTCGGGTGTTGTTTTAGGTGGAGTGAGTGCATTGGGCCCGTCCCTTTCCAAATTTTCCTTTGCCTTCGCGTGACTAAGACCCTGAAATATTGACATATATACTATATTTAGACAGCGGAGAATATTGCCGATGTTTAAGATGTGAAGTTTTAAAAAATGTGTAATCGTGTATTCAAAGATATACCAGTTTTATACTCAATACTCATTCTGTTGCGGGGCATCAATTTTTACAACAACAGGACATTATATTTTCTAATAGCTATTATAATCTGGTCGAAATCAATGCAGTGTTCCACCTTTTCGCAGCTTCTCGTCTTTCTATTCACGTTTTTATCTGACTTATCTAAATGAAATACGGAATTCCATAAACAAACAAAAACTCCATGTCGGATGTTTCCTCCCGTACCGAACGACATTGAAGTGTGTGGCAATATGAAACTTCTCTTGTAATCTGGAAAAACTTATTCGTTTCACATTAGATTCCGTATTGCACTTAAAAATTGAGATAAAGCCGTGACTAAAAAGCAAGATTCTGAGAAAAGACACGGTTATGCATTGATTTAGACAGGCATCTACTAGAATTGACGGAAATTATCAAATAATGTGGCAATCTGTATAAAACTGGTCTTACAACTTAAATTTAAATAAAATTGTTTTCAATAACAATATTTCTGAAGATCTAAGCTAATCTACGATGAGTATTTAATTTAATTTTTAATATTTATTTATTTATTTTTCAATGACGCTAAAGAAAACTTAAAAGCAAAAAAGTTAGAAGAAATGATTAGTCCCTTTATTCTTTATTGAATCGATTGGACGTCGATATATCTGATGAAAATTTTAATTTTTCCCAAGAACTTTTTCCTCAATTTCGAAAATTATTAAATAGAAATAGAATAAATAAAATAACGATTTGTTTTCTACTAGATAAACTGCCGGTTGACGGAATTTTATGTTGTTTAAGATTAGCGGTTAAATTCTAATAAATATGTGCTTCAAGATCAGCATTAAATATGTATGTAAATAGTTTATTATTGAAAAAATCCTTATATAAACCAGCGTATCAGCTCACTGCAAATAACCATAACCTAATAATAAAAACAATTTATAATGTTAGCTGATTACACAGGTATCCAGGTCAAACAAATGGATGTATAATAAATTTGTACCGTGCGTTCAATTTAATAGTAATTTTTTTGTTTTTACAGACATCAAAGTAAATACAGAAACAAAATGTAGGATTGACAGAAAAGCTTTTCGTTAACTGAGACGTAAAACAAAAAAATAATATAAATTTTCTGAAATTTCAACTTTTTCGATATTTTTGTAAGTGGAAAACCCTGTATATCTCATAGGCAGTAAATAGAGCATGTTACTATGATTTCAATTATATAAATCGCTGTATATTTTATTCCTCTTTTTTGCGATATATTTACAAAAATACGAAATTTTCATATAATTTCCTATAGTGACAATTAAAGCTGTCCTTATATTTAGCATATTGCTTAGCGATATTGATTAATACTGGTAAATTATTAACATTTTATACTCCAGAGCGAAGAGTTCCTTCCAAGAGATATTTACTTGGAAGACTTGGAAAAAAACTTGATGAAGTAGGTAACATTATTATTATTAAAAAGGTATGCCCCAATAAACGTGTTTTAAATGAAGAAAATAAAACAAAAAAAGTTCACTGCAAAATATTTAAATTTCGTAAAATCTATATGCTTAGCGAACACCAGTGCTAAAGGAATATGAAGTTTTGTTTCGAATTTTTAAATAGACATAGCGAAGATAATATCTTAAATACTATATTTTGGAGACCCATAAAAGTTCGTTCATTATAAAAAAACTGTTATAGACAAAACACTAATAATAATAATATATAATAAACAACAAAATAACAATAATAAATAATACAAGGGAAATATATGAAATAAAAAGTCACGGATAGCAGTTGGTTAATGCATGGTGTGGTGTTTTACACGCACATTTTTTGGGTGTGCTATTGGCACTATATATATATAAGATCGGGATCAAAAAAATTCTTTCTATGGAACATAAAAATTCGGATGAAAAGAATTCATCGTGACAATGAAAATGTGTCGAACAAAATGAAGGTTAAATACGGCAATTTTTAGAATAGAAAAAAAAAATTATTGTTATTTTTTATTTTCTTTCTTGTAAGTTAGTTTTGTCCTATTTTTCCCAATATCTCTTAAACGAGTGGAATCAAATACAAATCGTTCCATTTAAAAATATATCAAATAGTCCAAAATCTCAGAATATTGTCAGTGTTTTGTTTTACATGTCACGCTTGGCTGCTAAACCTAAGTTTTGAATGCTATTTATTTTGACATCTTTAAAAACAAAAAAAAATTACAGCGAACAAAGATCCCTGTCTACGGCTCTTAATGAGAAAATTTGAATAAAGGTAGTTGTCTAAAAAATGGTAATTATTAAAGTTCGAAGAAGGAAATAACTCAAGATTTATTCTAGTTTTCGTTGTGGAGCTCTGGGTGTTGCATCCAATACCCACAAATAATTAGCCAGTCATTTATAAATACTTACATTTTCAGGATGAGTTTGAAATCGTTGATATAATTCTTCAGGTGAAATTTTATGGTAGTCAATATCCAATTCTTGTTTCAAATCGTCCAAGTCGCCAGTCTTTCTTGGTTTTTTCTGAACTTTTCTTCGTGCCTAAAATAAAATTATACGTTAAAAATTGGCATTCGCTTTCTGCAGCGGTAAAAAAAAACACTGGAGATTAGTAATAGTAACATGTATTACTACTCGCCATTCTATCACCGCATATCAGTTTTCTGTATAAAAAATTAGAACGGCAACGTTCTTAACGCTTTTTATTTAAATAATAGTTAAGTTTTTCCAGATTCAATGACAATTGTAAATTATCGATTATATATCTCAACAGCTCGGCTGGGGATCAATCAAAATGATTGATTTTCCACAACGGAATCAAGTTATTACCAGTTACTGTAGGTAATTTACGAGCGAACTGACACATTTTGACGAACTACTACTTGCGGAACCTCTGGGTATGATTAATCAGATAATGATAACAACAAATTTTAGATGCAAATTGGATGATAACCTGTCTATACACTTAAAAAATAATGTCGCCAGTCTTATCTCATATATATGGCGCCATTATCTAACCAACTCGTACGTATGGAATAATGCGACTTTTGGAGTGAGAAATGTGCCGTTTAAATATAAATACAACACAGCGCAAACAACTTGCGAATGTCATATTATAATAACAAATTAGATCTAAATTCAGAGAAACGAGATAAAATCCAAATTAAGCACCGACAAAGTATAGTGTGTCTTGTCTTTTAACGGACCCTCTACCAAAAAGGAATTACCATCTTCTTACCTATCGTTACTGGGTAAATCCAACAACCAATAAAAGTCAGGTAGAGTCGATCATGTGTGGGGCTCTACCGCTTCTTACGAATGTATCACTAATTTTTCCGTTATGTCGCTGTCATTAGATGCGTATGAACATTTAATAAGTATAGGATGCATTAAACAAGAAGCTTTAAAAGAAACCTACCTATTTGCAAAAACATCAATATCATCGAAAAATGATATTGTTTACAATGAATCAGAAATAGAAAGAAAAAAACGTACTGTCTGGGCAGTGAGCAAGACATAAGAAGGAAAATATATTCCCTCTATCAAAACCAGATTGTTCCTACTTTGGATAAACTGAAAATTCACTTAGAAGACGGTGACGCCAATAATTATTAGCCCTGCCACCTCCGCAGAGTTGTTTGTAAAATGAGACAAAAAACAAGTGGTAATGGCATCGCACAGATTGCGCACTTGAGAATTAACTATCTTTAGGAAATTAAAAAAAAGTACACATCCGAAAAGAAGTAACACTTGGTTAGACACAAACGATACAGTATCCAAAGGGTTGATTCCAGTAAAACGCATCACCGCTGGATTAGAAGGCGGGTTTATTCCTGATTTCAAAATTATCTTAGATAAAATATTATAGATTTAGTGTCATCGTATCTTAACTATACTTTAACGTATATAAACTAACATATTTGATAAAGACACGGTGTTGTCGAAACAATTGTCATGTCATAATATATAATTTCGTGAAAATCTGAACTTTTTGTTCTTATTTATTTTTTGTATAAACTAAACTTGTGCTTTTTATGGAATAATTCTATTAGCTTTTCCAAGATATGTAACACATAAGAGGTATTTCAGAAAGTGTCCATGTTCCTAATATACTCAATTATTGTTAATTTCTGTATTCCCTTCTTTCACTTATGGCCATGTTAACTGACAATTATGAGAAATTGTATTTTTCATGACCTGCTTACAACTTACAACAAGCCTAATAAAAATCGGAAGAAAACTGACTACGCTACTAGATCTACGTAAAAACTATTATCCAAACTAATTTAATCTTTTCGTTAAATTTACGCTTAACTGAAGTACCAAAAGCTATCTAAAAATCGAACATTTTAAAATCATCATCTATCATTTCGTGAACAAGTAACTTTGGGCCACGAACGTGGAAGAAGGCTATCTTTACCAATAAGGAAGAAAAGACGTAAAACCATCAAGCAAGCTTGAATAACGGATTTCTAAGAAAACACAAACATTAGAATATCTTAACAACCCTTCATATTTTCATAATGCATGTTTGGGTAAAATCAGTAGAAATAGTTATTTGTCAATGACAGGAACAGTTTTTGAAATATAGGGATGAAAACTTGAATTCGGGGTTTTTTTCGAGATAACGATTGCGATTACATTCTATTTTTTGACATAATATGTAGAGGGCGTTAGTTGCACCCTTTAACTTCGCTGTTTCCTGAATTACCTTTTTTTTGAAGATTATCACAGAGGGATGTATGTCACCCTAACACAAGCAGATTAGAAAATCGTTGCGCAATTGAAAACTTACAATAAACATCTGTATTTCTGTTAAATTACTGTTTGTTTATTTTTGATCGATTCTTCGGCCACCAATTTTTATTCGGAATTTGATTTGAGCATATATGGGCTGCAATAATGGAGCTCAACGATTCTATTTTTTCATTTTTTTCATACATATTTATTCCGTTATAAAATAACAGTAAAAGATCTTTTATTTAGAATAATAAATATTAATGCTAATATCATTAATTAATTTTTTTAGGCAGCTTGATTTGATATGCAAATACAAACCGGTGTTTCTTATGGAAATAAATGTATAGCTTTTTTTGTTAGAAATTGTCAGTCGAAATCTCAATCCTAACATCAACACTCTGTATCTCATGAATTCTGCATGAATGTTTGCGAAATGGTGCTGTCAATATAAAATTCACAAAAAAAAAATCCAAATCAATCAAATTTTTAGGGTATTAGAGGTAAGTGTATTAAAATGCAAATATGTCGAAAATCGTGTGCTTCAATCTATCATAATCTTCAAAAAAACTAGTAATGACCTGTACTAACAAAAAAGGTATGACAAATTGTTTAAGGCTTTCGAACAGTTTAAAAATGACATAATTCTAAGTATTATTTGTGAAAAAAATATTTCAAAATCTAGTGAGGTATAGAGAAACAACAATTTCGAGAACTAAAAATCATTTTCGCGGGTTTAATCTAGGACGTGCGTTTTGACGCATTCCTTGCAGACCAACCTGTATACTTTTACTTTCAGTAAGTAAAAGCAAATGTCTCGAATTTTTGAATATACGCTATTGGTTCAGATTTGTTTATTTATATTAACACAAAATAGGGAATAACTTAAGTTGGAAAAATATGTTTTTTACCGCAGATTAAAAAATCGCTGCGCGATTGCAAATTTACAATAAACGTCCGTATTTCTGTTAAATTACTTGCAACGTAGTTCTGAAAACCTTTCTCAGTTCTACGTGTCTTAGCGATAAGGTACCCGAGAGTTAAATTTCATCGGCAGTATTTTATTACTCATTTATAATTCTGAGTCGACTATAATTTGCCTTGGTTAAAGTTTGAAGAATACTAATACTAGACACAAAAATTTCTATAGAAAAATGCAGGTTCGAATTTGCGACATCCACTTAGATACGACAAATTGCCAATCAAAACCCAACACCAACAGCAATTGCAAAAAAAATACCTTTGGTTGGCCGTCCGCCGTTTTCTGGTCGTCGTAGTTGGATGGAATCGTCGCCACTCGATACGAATCTGATCGGCCATGCTGCAAACAAGCCAACTAATGTCTAGACAACAGTTTTCTCTACGAACCTCCGTGGTAATTGTAGTACCGCAGTTTTCGACTTCCGCTCCATATATTCGATGAATATTGTCTTAAAGGTTTGTTTCATACTACGAATTCTAACGAGGCATATTCACAGTCATAAATACATATAGCGAGCTCATAATTTACGGTAAACTGCAAAACTGCAGGGTAAAAACATCGAATAGTTGAATAACCACACCACCCAAAAATTAATTTTCGATGTTACTGCTTAATCGATAGTTATTTGTGCATGAAATTTTGAAAGACGGGTTTTTTGAGGCGAGAAATTTGTAAATAATCGTAATATAGACTGCGAGCGCTCTACGGTACTAAAGTTAAATATAAACATCTTATTGTTGATCAAAATTTTTTCATTAAAGTGCCCAGTGATATTATCAAAATATTATTTTAACAAGTACATTATAGTGAAATTAAAAAATTATTCCATTCTCTAAGACCCTGAAATTAAATATAGATAAAACCAACAAACACACGAAACTTACAGCATCATTTATCAAAACATAAATTAAATTTAAAAAACGGATTATACGTTTCGTCTTAAATGGCATCATCAAACCTGTAAAACAAACCAAACACGAGTGCAAGCATCGTGGTCCGGCTGTCCTAGTAAAAGCAACGAGGTGTTAGAGAAACGGACGGTCCTAGAAATTTGAAAAACAAGAAGTAAATTGCCCAATTGGTTTCTCATTTCTATTGTTAAAGTGAGTACTGTACTGTAATGATACAAATTCAATCTTTTTTATTTAATTCTGTTTTTTCTTTCTATTCCCGTAGGGGTGGCGTTTTTTTACATAATCCTAAAGCAAATAATTTTCCAGAAAAAGAATAAATGCAACGATATGACTAAGGGTCCAACAACAAAATCAAACCCGCATCCAAATATATCTCTTTCCTAACTTAATATATGATTAAAAGAATTTAATCTGCTAAGCTATACTACTAAAGAGCTACGAGATAATCTGATCTAAGTAATAAAACGTGAGTAAAAAGTAATAAACATGAGTAAAAACCTCGACAATAACAAGTTAAAGATCATTTTATGTTTGATATTAAATATTCAATTAGCGTCTTACTTGCTAAATTATAGATAATTAGAGGAGGAATAGTTTCCCAATATATATATTTTTCAGCAGTAGGTTCTCGCATTCATATTTCACTGTTTCTGCTAGGTTGTTACATTTCCAGAAAATAGTTTATTGCGATTACGCCAGAAAACTGATATCCAAAGTAAGCAATCGCAATCGCGTCACTCATAGCACGATTGATTGTCTATTAAAGGCCCCTTTCTACGACTCCAAGTTTGTTAAAATATGTTTCGGAGATATGGACATTTATTTAAGAAAATGTTCGACACTCCCCACCCCCCTTCAATGTAGAGCAAACAACACTAAACAAAAATCATTTCTTCGTCGATTTACCTTTTTTTTTTCAAATTTCTTGGACCGTCCATTCCTCTAATAACATACTTCGTCGCCCTTACTGGACGGAATATTAAAAATTAAGTGTTAGAGACATCTATTGAAAAAGGTTAACAGTTAATAAAAATTACTTAAATACGTCGCAACTATCAAAGTGACAAAATAGCAGAAACTCATATGGTTTATTTAATTTTGCATAGTTGCATAGCTATTGTTCATGTGTTTTTTGGTTCTAACAATATAGGTTATAGTGTTAGTTATAATAACCATTACATGAGTAATAGTAATATTTTAATTCATTTGAATGACAGTATGAATGAGTAACAATAGGAAAATTGAGCTATTGAGAAATTAAATCGACTAATGAAAATAATTCCCAGATTTTATAAACCTCAAGAAAAGAATGTAGTTTCAAAACGAATTTTATTGAATATGTTTGAAGCATGAAAGCCTACTTTGAAAATTTGTTCTTTGCGAATCTAAATGCATTCGAAAAATCGAAAACGGTTGCTCTGAGCAAAAATGAGGCGAAATGAGATTCACATTACAGTTCCATCAAAAATATTGGTTGAGGATGTGAAAAAATCGAAAATTTATTGTAACCCTGTATCTTGTTTACTTTTTTGGGGATAAAATTGTGGTCAATTAACTACCTGTACAACTCTCCCTATTTTACTCCCAAATGCAAAAATAGAAGCTTAACTTCAAAATTGATCAAAATATTCATGAATATTGACAAAACATTGATTAACGATTTTCTATCCTCAATTTTGGCAAAGTGTGTCTTAAATTATATCGTCTTGGCTTTTTGACGGACCCTAGTCCAAAAAGTAATTAGGAACTCAAAACCTATTGTTAAATAGGTAAACCCAACAACTAATAATTTGTTCATAGGTAAGGGACAAGAGAGGAGTGAGTAAGTGGATATAGTATAAGCCGTTTTACCGTGCGTCTAGGAAAAGCTTCTGACGGTCTATCACTAATTGTCCACGTTATGCAAAACAAATGGTGAAAACTGTGTATAAATGTTTAATAAGTAGGGGGTTCATTAAGCAACAAGCCTCAAGAGAAACCTCCAATATAAATTATATTGTTAACAGTAAATTACTGAATGAAAGAACAAAAGTAATGACTTTCAATTTTACCGTGGAACGGGCTTAGGGGAGAGCTAGAACAGGTAGTCCAATCACATTCTATATAAATGAAAATATCAAAATAGCAATACAAAATATCACCACTAAATATAAAATTTAAATTTATTTTTTCCTCTTTAAAACTTGGCCAAAAAATAAGTATAACCTTCGACACCTACGGTGAAATAATAAAATCGAAATGTTTGTGCTACCTTATAGCAAAATCTTCAAACATGCCCCGGAAAATTAAAAATACATTAAATATTCCTTTGACTACGTATACCTTCAAGCAAACAAATACTTCTTTCCTTCCTTGCAAGCTTAATGAATAATTTGATCAATTTTGAAGTTAAGCTTCTATTTTTGCATTTGCCAGTAAAATAGAGAGAGTTGTACAGGTATTTAATTGAACACAATTTTACCCCCAAAGAAAGTAAACAAGATACAGGGTTACAATAAATTTTCGATTTTTTGACATCCCGAAACAATATTTTTTGCTGGAACTGTAATGTAAATCTCAATTCGCGTCATTTTTGCTCGGAGCAACTGTTTTCGATTTTTATAATGCATTTAGATTCGCAAACAACAATTTTTCAAAGTAGACTTGCATGCTTCAAAGATATGCAATAAAATGCGTTTTGAAACTTCATTATTTTCTAGGGGTTTATAAATGCTGAGAATTATTTTCATTAGTCGATTTAATTTCTCAATAGCGCAATTTTCCTATTGTTACTCATTCATATTGTCATTCAAATGAATCAAAATGTTACTATTACTCATATAATGGTAATTATAACTAACTCTATAACCTAAATTGTTAGAACCAAGAAACACACGAAATCTACAGTGTTATTTGAATAAAAATGCAATATGTAGAATTAATATAGCCACGATACACGAAATTTCAATGCACCTTAATTGAGACTGAGAAAAGTATAGATACGCATAATTAAATAACAACTTGCAATTCTAACCAGTCAAGACTTACTGTACGATTAATACTTATTAAAGTACCGTTCCCAAATTTTTGGATACAGTAATTCTTGTGAATATACTTTCAGAATATGCCTCGTGTTAAAATAAATCTACCTAGCTACTATACGAACATATCATAGGGGCACTGCAGACCAATATCCATTCCAAGCTAAGTTTGTTTTGTATCAAACTATAAACGGCAGTTTTAGAAGAAGTGAATGAAAGAATTTTTTGTCTTCCGCAGCTAGGTAGTTTACTAATATCCTTTTCAATCTATAACGTTCTAAAGTAGGATGCAACAAACACGTTATTAAATTAAATCATGTGAAATTTAAAATGAGGCAAAACGAAACAACCGATTTAACTAATTTAAATAAGAAAACCAAGATTATTCGACATTTCGATTTACCTCATATGTTAGCTAGTCATGCGGAAAAACTTCAGATCATATTATATTACCAACCAAAATCGTGCCAAAAACCTCGCAGTAAAAATATTACCTGACTCAGCCCGACCAGATAAGAAACTCAACCAACTTCAATAAACAGAAACTGCAACTGCATAACTCGAAAGCGATTTTTAGTGTAAATTGGGTATGTATATTATTGCTAATGTGTAGTTTATTAATATTTTTCTCTCGTAGTTCATAATACCTTATAGTTTTTATTATGCATTTAAGATAAGAGCTTTTGTTTGTCAGTTCAAAGATATCGAGCAGCCGCATTACAGAAACTATTGCGTGAATACTTTTGAAATGTAATATTAAAGAATTAAAGATTATGTTTTTATTTATTTATTAGACTATTTACCTACCTTTTGCATTTCTAAATAAGAAAGTTCTAACCACTGGGAGGAAGACTATAAACTTGGCATTATTGTCCATAATTGGATCAAGCGTACTTAAAATCTACCGATGTACCAACTTTCAAAAAAATTGCACGCAATATTCTCTGGAATTGTTACTGAAAGCATTATCGGCTTTTAATTTAGAACGTTGTATATTTAAAAAACAATTTCGACCAGAAGTTAATATGAAGTACCCCCACTTCGCGCCTCTTCGTAGAAATGATTATTAATCTCTGACGTAAGTATTTATTTACGCAAATATGGCTTACATACGAACACGCAGTTCTAATCTAATTCCGAGCGCTCGAATTACCTGATAAACTCCATAAAAATGAAAGCAATCTGGATAATTACATTAAATTGTTATGGGAAGCACATTTTAAATATCACACGGTGCCAGATTATGTAACAGGATCGAGGGATTTCTCCATTAAATAGGTTATCGATTTAACCATATTACAAGGGAGGAAGTCTAAAAAGTAATATACAAGATTGAGAGTATACCAGAACGAGGGCAATTTAGCACTTATTCAAAATGCCAAAATGAACAGATGTATCTAAAGTT